TACTGTGTTTTCTGTGAATAGTCGGTACAAGTAAACGGTTCATGGACGTTAGAATCAGACCTGGCCTGTAGTTTAACCCCTGTACTTCACTGTGTGTCTTTGAGCAAAGTTGCTTACTAATACCTTGGGAGGGTCATCAAGACCATTAGATGAGACAGCGTGCATGAAAGCATCCAGTCCCGTGGCCTGGTACAAAGGAGAGCTTGACCAAGGTCAGTTCAGCCTCGGGCCCACAACTGGGTGTTCATTGCTAAGGAAGGTGCCAGTGTGCCTCCTTTAAAAGCTGAAAGCAGGTCTGTCAGCAGGGTGAAATCTTTTCCCAGAGTCACCTGGACAGAAGCAATGAGTGCCCACATGCCTTCGCTCTGTCAAATCGCCTGGATAATGGCATAATGACAAGGCACCAGTTTTAAATGGTCTCTTCAAGGCAGTAAATAACCCTCTAAGGCATGAAGGAGTTAACGCATTAGCCAGAATACTTCATTTCTACCAGGGAATCACTACCTTAACTGCTGGGAGCTGGCTCATTATTTTAATTGGATTTTCCAATGTGTTGAGTAAGTCAGCAGATTTGCATTCACCCTAATGTTCACAGATACAACTCTCTGCAAAGGAGACGGAGAGAGGGAGAAGGCAGCGGGCAGCCGAGAGTGTCCGCATTAATGTAAGATGACAGAGTAAGCAAATTATATTCTCAGTAAATAACATAGCCTGGGGGCATGTGGGTGTCCTGGAATTACCACAGGTAGAGCTGTGCTGCTCTCCTCTCTGAGAAGAAAATGGCCCTGCTGACTCACTGCCCTTCTGCCCAGACTCCAGTCACCGGGTTCAGGCAGTCAGTGGGCCAGGGCACTCATTTCTCAGGCCCCTGAGACTACTCTCTCTCTCTGCCCTGGGGCTCGGAGTAACGGGCAGCAAACCAGACATTCCAGTTCAGTGTGGGTGAACCTCACCTCCTGCCAGACTCCTATTGGGGTGCCATCCGTTCGTGAACAAAAGATGAGGTCCTTCCCTTTTAAAAACATGCCTTTTAGAGGCGGAAAACATGTGATGAATAGGTGGTTTTGTTGTTGTTGTTAAGTGCCATCAAGTCTTTCCAACTCAGAGTGACCCTGTATAGGGTTTCTAAGGAGCAGTGGTGAGTTTGAGCTGTCGACCTTGTGGTTCAAACCATTAACCTTGTGGTTCCAACCAACCTTGCATCCAGAACTCGATCCCACAGTGCCACACCAAGACTAAGTGAGCAGAGATCATTTCCCTCTGTGGTAAATCTTTAAAGGACAGAGGGAAAACTTTTCACAAAGCCATCTCCAATGGTTGCAGTTTCTGGGGTCTGTTTGTATAATTTCTGTGTCTAAGAAATTTTCAGAAATTGGTTATTTTTATCAAACCCAACTTCAATTACATTTTGTTTGCTTAAGTAAGTTCATTTAACATGGAGAATGAATGAAACTTTAACCCTTGCTCTCTCTGACTTATTTTAAACTTCAGATTGGGCTTGTTGTTGGGGCAAGAAGACTCCAAATTCAAGTATATTTTGTATGTTGTTGTTGTTGTTATGTACCATGGAGTCGGTTCCGACCCATAGCGACCCGGCACAGGGTTTCCAAGGATGTAAATCTTTATGGGAGCAGAAAGCCTCATCTTTCTCCCACGGAGCAGCTGGTAGTTTCAAACTGCCAACCCCTTTATTGAAGCCTAAGGAGCTTTGGTAGTGTAGTGGTTACGAATCGGGCTGTGAACCGCAAGGTCAGCAGCTCGAAACTACCAGCGGTTCCGTAGGAGAAAGATGAGGCGTTCTGCTCTCATAAAGATTTACAGCCTCGGAAACCCTGTGCAGGGTCGCTATGAGTCGGAACCGACTCCACGGCACTTAACAACAACAACAACAAGGCATCCTGGTAGTGCTATCACATAAGCTCTGGATTTCTGATTCCTAGTTCGGCAGGTGAAAACCACCAGCTGCTCCATGGGGAAAGATCCAGCCTTGGAAACCCTGTGCAGGGTCATATGAGTCAGAGTCAACTCTAATAGAGAGTTACTAAGCCTAAAACAGGACAAAGACACCTGAAACATGAATCATCTGACGGAAGAGACTCTTGGCATGAAACCATAATGGTGTCAAGCTGAAAGACCTGAAGAATAAATCCAAGCCTCGACTTGCCATATTCAAGAATTCTATGGGCTAAATATTGAACAATGCAGAAAGCATCAAAAGAAGATGGAAGGAATACACACAGTCACGCTACCAAAAGGATATGGTTGATGCTCAGCCATTTCAAGAGATAGCATATGATCAAGAGCCAACGATCCTGAAGGAAGAAGTCCAGGGTACATTGAAGGCACTGGCAAAAAGCAAAGCTCCAGGAATTCATGGAATACAAATTGAAATATTTCAACAAACTGATACAGCGCTGGAGGCACACACTCAGTCTATTCCAAAGAAATTTGGAAGACAGCTACCTGAACAACTGATTGGAAAAGATTCATATTTGTGCCCATTCCAAAGAGGTGACCCAAAGGAATGTGAACTGATCAGACAAAATCATTAGTATCACACACAAGTTAAGTTTTGCTAAAGGTAATTTTTAAATGACTGCAGCAGTACATTGACAGGGAACAGCCAGAGAGGTTCCAGCCAGAATCAGATGAGGACGTGGAACAAGGAATATCATCGCTGGCATCATACAGATCTTGGTTGAAAGCAGAGAATAAATGTCTACCTGTGCTTTCTTGACCATGCAGAGGCTTTTGATTGTGTGGACCATGACAAACTATGGACAACATTGCAGAGAATGAGTATTCCAGAACATTTAAATGTGCATATGAGGAATCTGTACATAGACTAAGAGTCATCATTCTAACAAAACAAAGAGACACCGAATGGTTTAAATCAGGAAAGGTGTGCACCAGGGTTGTTGTCTGTACACTGAGCAAATAATCTGAGAAGCTGGATTATATAAAGAAGAACATGACATAAGGATTGGAGGAAGACTCATTAGCAACCTAAAATATGCAAGTGATATAACAGCGAAGAGGACTTAAAATACTGATGAAGAGCCAAGACCACAGCCTTCAGTTGCACTTCAGTGTAAGGAAAACAAAAATCCTCACCACTGGATCAGTAGATAGCATCATGATAAATGGAGAAAATATTTAAGTTGGCAAAGACCTCAATTTGCTTGGCTCCATTAGCAACACTCATGGAAGCAGCAGTCAAGAAGTCAAATGACATATTGCATTAGGCCAGTTGTCTGCACAAGAACTCTTTAAAGTGTTCAAGAGCAAAGATAGCAGTTTGAGAACTAAGGTGCGCCTGACCTAAGCTGTGGTATTTTCAGTAACCTTGTATGCACGTGAAAGTTGGACAATGAATAAAGAAGGCCATAGAAGAATTGATGCATTTCAGTTAAGGTGTTGGAGAAGAATATTTAAAATACTATGGATTGCTAGAAGAACTAACAAAGCTGTCTTGGGAGAAATAGAGCCAGAATGTTTCTCAGAAGCCAGGATGGAAAGATTTCATCTCTCACACTTCATAAAGACATATGATCAGGACAAACCAGTCTCTGGAGAAAAGGACATCATGTTTGATGAAGTGGAAGGTCAGTGAAAAAGAGGAAGATTTCCCCAACAACTTGGATAGTAGTAATGGGCTCAAACTTAACAATTGTGAGGATGATGCAGGGCCAGACAGTGTTTCATTCATTCTGTTGTGCATAAGGCCGATATGATTTGGAATTGACTCAACAGCACCTAACAACAACAGTAATTTTGCCCAAAGAATTCACACTTCCATGGCAAATTGCAGATCAACGGAAACCATCACAAAATCATGACTGATCGGTGCTGATCAAGTCATCACCATCTTGACAAGGACTGTAGAAGTAGAAAATAAAACCATGATTGAGATACATACACCATTGCAGATCCGAAAGTGGTGGTTTGATCGTTGGAGACCTGACTCACAACCACGAGGCCCTGGGATCCTAACTTCTACTAAAGGCCTTCTCAGGCACGTCCCCCTTTCCAGGCTGAGTAGGTCTTATAGTGTTTCTTGAAATACATACGGACTGTGGCAAAGAAGCTACCACATTGCTCATCAGAAAGAACTCAAATGGAAGCTGAGTTTGTCAAGATTCAAAATGGCATCAGAGCTTCCACTTATAAAGTACAGCCTTCTACAGCCAAGTGCTTAAGAACTTAAACTCCATTACATACAAGCTTGATGTCTATGCTGACGAGGGGACTGTCCTTTCTGTGAGGAAGGAAATGTCATAAGGAATCTGTTTAGAAAGCATTTTTAATGTATTGATTGCTCAATCAAATAAGTATACATTTTTCAAGACATGCTATTCACCTTCATGTAAACTTGAGTCCTGTAAAGAACTTAATGTTACTTTAACTATCATTAAAAGAAAGGAAATAGAATGCAAGTGGAATAAATGAAAGTGGAGTACTCAATAAAGTCTCAGTAAGATGAATGAGAAATAATGACAACGTAAAAGAGTTTTTAGAAAGTCCTTTAAAGATGCAGGTGACTCAGGAAGTCTCTGCCCTGTAGGATTGCTGTGTCCCACTGGCCACAAGGCCTCTGGAGAGACTTGGTACACACTCCGCTTGTAATCTCTTCTGTAGCCTTGAGAGGATTCCTGAAAGAACTAGAAAAGGAAGAGAGAAAAGGAAGAGTTAAATTTTCAAATCCTCCGAGTGGAAAGTTGCGCTCCTTCACTGTCATAGAGCATATTCCCTATATGCCAGCTAATGTCCTAATGTGTCAGAGGTGGTCCTCCTCCTACCAGCCTCCCCATGTTTCTTCTACAGCTGAATTGTCCGTTCCATTGGCAGTCCGTGGTGTGTTCAGTGTTCTTTTCCAGCACCACAGTTTGAATACATCAGTGCTCCTCCTGTCTGTTGATCACAACACTCAACATGAGCTAGTCTCATTTTTCCTTATGCATTCTTGTTTTTAACTGTCTCCTCTTGTCTTTGCTTTTCAGCTCCAGGGTCTGAGCCACAATGTGATCTTCACCCTGGATTCCTTGCTAAAAGGAGACTTAAAAGGAGTCAAAGGGGTCAGTATTCAGAAATTTGATTTCACTTTTAACATGAAAGGATTGATTTTCACCCTTTTAAGCTTACTAGTGCTGGTATTCTGAACATTCTCAGCATAAAAAAATGCTTTTGGAAAATATCATTCCAAAGATGGGCGATTTCAGATAATGTTATTAACAGAAGAACGAGGTAGCTACTTGCAGGAAGACTGGTGGGAGGCCAGTTAGGCGGGGGGACCAGTCTTTATCTAAATCTGGGCTCCACTACCGGTGATCTCATAACTGGTGGCTGGACCTCTCAGAACCTCTGGTGCTTCAGAACAGGGGCAGAGGTTCTCCCCGCTTCTTCCCTCTCACCGTTTATCATGTGTGAAAGTGAAGACAGTACATGGAAATATTTTAGTGAAGATGTTAGTCGTCCCATCCCCTCTTATCCACAGTTCCTCTCTCTCCGTTTCAGTTACCCGCTGTCAACTATGGTTTGAAAATACTTAAGTTTGGCACTGACCTGGGTAATGTGATGAAATCTCATACTGTCCTAGTCAGTGCCAGAGCTGGCTTCCTCTTCCTTCAGTGAGGGGAGCCAGGAAAACAGTTGGGTGAGCAGCTAGCTGCCTGTCACCCAGCTGACGTCCAACAGAATAACACTGCCCTCGTGAGGCACCCTGAGTACCTGGTGTGTATGACTAGAAAAAAAACAGTAGGAGCGGGCTTCAGAGAGTGTGTGGGAAAGCAGAATTAAAATAGAATAAAAAATGTGCCACACACTCTTTGAAGTCTTCTTGTATACAAGATTTCAGTACTACATCCTGTTTGTGGCATCCACTGGGGGTCTTGGAATGTATCCTCTGTGGATAAAGGGGGGGGTGGGCTATCCCTTATGGATAAATACCCCCTATGGATATTTATTTATTCAAGCAAAATAAATAGAATTTCAATTTCTTTTTCTTTCTTAAGGATCTCAAGAAGCCGTTTGACAAAGCATGGAAAGATTATGAGACCAAGTTGTAAGTGTTTCTGTTTTGTTTGTTTCATGTTTAATGTAGTTATGTTGAGGATTTAGCTCTTGCCCAGCTACCACATCATTTCTCTGCCCCTTTTGTCCAATGGGCTTAGTCCACCCAGGTTTGGTTACAATAGGGGTTACAATAGGGGTTACAATAGGGGTTTGCAGCGTTATCCTTGTGTAAATATACCTACTCATCACTTGTCAACAATCTCATTTCATATTTAATTATTGTTGTTGATAGGAGCTATAGCAACCTAGTGCACAGCACAACGGAACACTGCCCGGTCGTGTACCATCCTCACTATTCTTGTTTGAGCTGATTGTTGTTGTCATTGTGTTAGTCATTGTTGGTGGGGGGTCTTCATGTTTTTTATTGACCCTCTACGATACTAAGCATAATGTCCTTTTCCAGGGACTGATCCCTCCTAACAACATGTCCAAAGTATGAAAGACGAAGCCTCTCCATCCTCTCTTTTAAGGAGCTCTCTGGCTGTACTTCTTCCTAGACAGATTTGTTTGTTCTGATAATCCAGGTTACTTCAGTACTCTCCAACACCATGATTCAAAAGCTTCGTTGCTCTACTATTTTCCTTATTCATTGTTCAACTTCCACGTGTATATAAGGCCATTGAAAATATTATGGATTGGATCAGGCTCACCTTAGTCCTCAAGCTGACATCTTTGCTCTTAAACACTTTAAAGAGGTCTTGAGCAGCAGATCTACCTAATGTAGTATTATCTGATTTCTTGACTGCTGCTTCCATGAGCCTTGATTGTGAATCCAAATAAATTGAAATCTTGGACAATTTCAGTCTCTTCTTTATTTATGATGTTTTATATTGGTCCTGTTGTCAGGATTTTGTTTTCTTTGCACTATAATTCAGGCTGTGGTTTTTGATCTTCATCAGTAAGTATTTTAAATCACTGCCTGCAAGCAAGGTTCTATCATCTGTATATTACTAGTTAATGAGTCTTCCTACAATCCTGATGCCATGTTCTTCATATAATCCAGTTTCCCAGATTATTTGCTCGACATACAGATTAAATTATTGCTGTTATTGTTCGGTGCTGTTGAGTCCGTTCTGACTCTTAGTGGCCCAGTATAGAGTTTCCAAGGAGTGGCTGGTGAGTTTGATCTACCAACCTTGCGGTTCAAACCAGCCTTGTGGTCCAGTGCTTATCCTACAGCACCACAGCAGTACTCCCATACAGATTGAATAAGTATGGGGAAAGGATACAACCCTGGCACGTTCCTTTCCTTATTTTAAACCATTCGGTAGTCCCTTATTCTGTTCTAACGACTGCCTCTTAGTCTGTGCACAGATTCCTCATGAGCTCTACTTAGTGTTCTGGAATACACAGTCTTCACAGTGTTACCCCTGGTTTGCTGTAATCCACACAGTTGAATGCCTTTGCATAGTCAGTAAACCATAAGTAAACATTTTTCTTATTTCTTTGCTTTCAACCAATATCAGCAATGATATTCCTCATTCCTCCTCTTCTTCTGAATCCGGACAAAATTTCTGGAAGCTCCCTGTTGATACACTTCTGTTTTTACATTATCTTCAGCGAAATTCTACTGTGGTATTGTTTGGTTTTCCACATTCTGTTTGTCTCCTTTCTTAGGAAAGTGCACAGATAGGGATCCCTTCTGATCAGGTGGCCAGGTGTCTGTCTTCCAAATTTCTTGGCAATAAAGGAGTGAGCGTCACCAGTGCTGCATCAGTTTGTTAAACTATTTTAATTTGTATTCCATCACTTCCTGGAGCCTGGTTTTTTTTACCAGTGCCTTCAGTACTGCTTGGACTTCTTCCATCAATACCATCGGTTTTTGATTATGTGCTACTTCTTCAAATGGTTGCACATCAAGCAATTCTTTCTGGTACAGTAACTCTGTATTCTTCCATCTTCTTTTGATGCTTCTGACATCTAATATTTTGCTTTAGAATCCTTTTTTTAGTATTATAATCTCAGACTTGATTTTTTTTTTTCTTCTTTAGTTCTTTCAGCTTGAGAAATGCTGAGCATGTTCTTCCCGTCTGGTTTTTCTAACTCCAGGTTTTTGTACATTTCATCTTGATACTTGACTTTTTCTTCTTGATGCTCTTTTGATATTTTCTGTTCATATCTTTCACTTTCTCGTTTGTTCCAGTTGCTCTACCTTTTCTACACTCAAGAGCAAGTTTCAGAGTCTCTTCTGACATCCATTTTGGTCTTTTCTGTCTTTTCTACCTTTTTAATGACTTTTAGCTTTTTTATGTATAATGTTCTTGATATCATCCCACAACTCTTAAGGTTTTCTATTGTTAGTGTGTAATACATCAAATCTGTTCTTGAGATGGTCTCTAGATAGGATGTAATTAAGGTCATATTTTGGCTCTTTAGGATTTGTTTTGATTTTCTTCAGCTTCAGTCTGAACTTGCAGATGAGAAATTGGTGGCCTGCTCCACCACTGGCTCCGGGCTTGTTTGGCTGATGACATTGTGCTGCTCCATCATCTATCCCCACTGATATAGTAAATCGGATTCCTGTTTATTCCATCTGCTGAGGTCCATGTGTGTAATCCCATTTATGCTGTTGAAAAAGGTATTTGCAATTAATAAGTCATTGGTCTTGCAAAATTCTCTCATGTGATCTCTCCAGCATTATTTCTATCACCATGGTCATATTTTCCAATTATTGAGTTTTCTTTGTTTCCACGTTTGATAGTCCAGTCACCAGTAATTACCAATACATCTTGATTGCATGTTTGATCCACTTTTGACTGAAAAAGTTGGCAGATTTTTCAATTGCATCATCATTAGGTTTTAATGATTGGTGCAAAATATGAATAATAGTTGTATCAACTGGTCTTTCTTGTAGGCATATGGGTATTATCCTATCACAGACAGCATTGTACTTCATAACAGATCTTGAAATGTTCTTTTTGATGATTAATGCAGTGCCATTCTTCTTCAATTACTGTCATTCCCAGCATAATAAGCCGTATGATTGTCCGATTCAGAATGGTCACCACCATTTCAGCTCACTAATGACTAGAATCTCAGTCATTTCTCATTCTGTTTTATTTTTGACAGCTTCCAGTTTTCCTAGATTCACACTTTGTACATTCCACATTCTGATTATTAATGGATGTTTACATCTGTTTCTTCTCGTTTTGAGTTGTGCCCCATCAGCAAATGAAGGTCCAGAAAGCTTTGCTCCATCTACATCACTATGGTCACATCTACTTTGAGGAGGCAGCTCTTCCCCAGTCCTACTGAGTGCCTTCCAACCTGATATGAGGGGCTCATCTCCCAGTACTGTGTCAAACAGTGTTCCTATGCTATTTGTAAGGTTTTCATTGGCTAACCATTCAGAAGTCATATTGTATTCTTAAAAGCTCCACTGAACCCTGTACACCATGAATGACCCTGCTTATTTATAAGCACTGACAATATAGCTTCCAGCATCACAGTCACACAACACAACAAACTGACAGACAAGTGGTGGTCACATTTAATAACAAACAGTAAATAGTAGACAAGAGTTAAAAAATCTGAGTATTTTGCACGTTAACAGTGTTCCTGTGGCAGTAATGAACGCCGAGGTGTGAGTCAATGATAGAGCTAGCTGTGGTGATTAAGGCTCTATGTCAGTTTCTCTGGGTCATGGGTATCAGTAGTTTTGGAGTTAAATAATGCTGTAATTCACTCTTGTGTAGTGATGTAGTCTTCCTTCATTTTCCCAAAATGTTGATTTCCACATAACGACCTTGTCTTTGAAATCTGACCATGTTGGTAAGTGAGCAGCGGGTATAGTCATTACCCCTCTGAATGATGTGTTAGGCCTGAATTTCCAGCCTTTTGGTATATTTTGTACTTAACTGAATAACAGGCATGCTTCTTCACTTGCTTAATTTTGTGTGAATCTTAGGAATCTCATCTCCAACAGATTTCCAACACCTGTCAATTAACTTCGTTTAGAAAATGTCCTACACATATTGTTACAATGACTGTATTATCTATCTGTCACTGTTACAGCACCTTTCCCAGGACTGTCCTTCCATAACTCTTTAGATCAGTGGTCCAGCTCTCACCTTGAGACTGCCCTTTCCCTCTCTTTGTGTTCCATCTTTCATTTCCTCTTTCCTGGGTTAGTTCTTTAGCTGGAATACTTCCTTCAGTAACTTCCAGGGAACAAGTCTCAGAATGTCTCAAATCTCTTCATTCTACCACTACACCAAGAGAGAGCTTGGCTAAATATAAAATCCTGGGTTTATAATCATTTTCTTTGTTGGAAGGAATTGTTCCATAATTTCTAATGTCCAGTCTTAATGAAAAATCTGAGTCCCATGTGTCTGTATGTGACTTTTTACGTGTTGTTGTTAAGTGCCATGGAGTCAGTTCTGTATAGGGTTTCTGAGGAGCAGCTGGTGAGTTTGAGCTGTACACCATGTAGTTCACTGTACAGTGCTTATCCTACAGCATCACACCAGGAACTTGTTGAGTTGGGTTTTATTTCTTAGTTTCAGTAAGACAGTGTTTCATTTCTTTGTATAACAAGCTCATTGGTATTTCTTGGAGTCCTGGTGTGGCACTATAGGATAAGCACTGGACCACCAGATCGATATGAACCTCATGGTGGTGGTTTAAACCCACCAGCCGCTCCTTGGAAACCCTATACAGGTTCGTTATGAGTCGGAACTGACTCGACAGCACTTCACACCACCAGTGGCATTTCTTTCTGCATGTGCTGTGGTGCCCGCGTTGACCTCCCATTTGCCGTTTTTAGTCCTGAAAGTTTTCTTGTTATTCTTATTTCTAGTAATACTGATTATAAAATATTAGACTGCTAAGTTCTTATCGTTTCCTTTCTTTTCTGCCCTTTTTTCTGTACCATTTATATTTGAGATTATTGCGTCAATGTTTCCTCTACTATAGTTGTTAACTTTTGATTTTGACAGTCACATTTTAATTTTTAAAAGCTGTGTTTCTCAATCAGGTTTTCATTTTGTTTTGCTTTGCCTTTTTTTAGTTTCTTGTTCTTATTTCAAAATTGCATTACTTTAGCTCCCCGAGGACTTAATTACATTTTCATAAAATGTTTTATCTCTTTCCTTATTGCTTCCAGGCTCCTACCCTGCCTCTAATTACGTACGTTTTAGAGCAAAGCACCTAACAGCTGACTGAAAGCTCATGTGTATAAAGCCGAGTGTGCCAACTCGGAAGCTTTCCTTTTAGGGTCTAGAATGCCCAGACAGCCTCTTCTTTGGATGTCTTCAACCATCAGTGTCTGGAGATCTATCTTTTAGAACCAGTATTTCCTTCAGCACTTATCTGCTGATTGTAAGTGGTGGTATTCTGGGAACTACTCAGGAGAGGGCGTCACAGTGTAGATTTTCTCCCACTCCTGGTCTCCCAAGTATTGGTTAAATCCTCTCATTTTTTTCTGTCTCCAGGTCTTCACACTTTCAGGTCTCTATACCCTTTTTGCGCTGTGGGCTAATACGTCAGACAGCAAAGTCGTTTAAACTGCAAGGTTGGTGGTTCAAGCTCACTAGCTGCTCCTTGGAAACCCTATACAGGGTCGTATGGGTCGGAATCGACTCAACGGCACTGCACAACAACAACAACATACCCTTTTTATGCTTTAAGTTTATTCCCTTTCTGACAAAATCCCTGCCATTTTCCTTCTTTGACTACTAATGTATCATGATTAAAAACTACCTTGGATACAGCTTGTTGGTATTAGAGTGAATCCCATCCAAGTTTGTAGTACATTTTTCATTGAGCTGATGAGTTGATTTTCCACAGTGTTTGTATAAAGGCAAGGATGTTGGCTTTCTTTGGGGTTTGGTTCCCCTACTACCACCACTTAAAAGAAGATTTGAAAGCTAAATCAGTTGCATTCACAGCTAGAAATTACAGGCTGCTTTTGAAATTAGATGTCGGTTCTCAAGTTAGATGGATTTTGGGAGCAAGGGCTCTGATTATTGGTGTCATTACCAGAGTATCAACTATCATGGCCAAGTTTATAGCCTCAGGTATTGTGTGTTTAATGTGGGCCTTCCTCCTTGTTACCTGATCCCCTCTAGGCTCTCTCTCCATCTGAGGAACATTTTCATGGGATGCCTGAGATCTCTTTAAGTCCTTATTTTGTTCACTCCAGTGCCAGGTGGTTGAATGATGAAAATGTGCTATTGAGATTTGGATGTAGCTCAAACTTTGGAGGAGTATTGAAAATCATCTTGAACTAGTTTTTATGGATACCCACAAAGACTCACTCTATACCATAATCATTCTGAAATAATTCTAAGTTTCATAACCAATCAGTAATCAAGAATTGTCTCAGATCCCCAACTTTATAATGCTCCTTAATTCTAGGGCCTTTTACCCAAGAAAAGGTAAATTATCAAATTATTTTCATGCCAACCAAAATGCAAGCAAATTTATAGGAATCCACCCAAGTATGAAGTTGCCTCAATGAAAATCTATAAAAGGTGTGTTCTCTTTGAACTTAGATTTTTACTTTTGACTGCTGCTATCAAGTGCTCTTAACTTTAATACTTAAGAAATAACCAAGTGAGTCTGTGGTTGGTGTAACCAGTTAACAGGTTCAGCTGCTAACTGAAAGGTTGGAGGTTGGAGTCCACCTCTGGAGAGAGGTCTAGTGATCTGCTTCCAAAAGCCCGCCGCTGACGACTATCCTGTGGAGCACACATACAGGTTCTCTTCAGACACGTACGGGTTACCAGGCCCCAGAATTGACTCGACAGCAGCTAATCTGGGCCTTTGTCTCTCTGCTGTTGTCCTTCTTTGTAAAGGGAAAGACCTGGTGCACGCTACTGTTGGCTTGGTTTGGTTTTCTCACGGTGGCGTCTCCATTCATTACAGCACAAAGATTGAAAAGGAGAAGAGAGAGCATGCGAGACAGCACGGGATGATCCGCACAGAGATCACAGGAGCTGAGATTGCGGAAGAGATGGAGAAGGAGAGGCGCCTCTTCCAACTCCAAATGTGTGAAGTGAGAGCGGACCTCTCGGTCATTTTCCTACAACCCTAGTGTCTGTGATCTTCTCCTGCTAGTCGGCAGTGTCGACGCGGAAGAGGAGGCTGTGTTTGATTATTCGAGGAGGGCACTGTTTCTTAAGGATTCTAATTTCCATTTTTCTCCAAGCCTTTTGGGATCCGCCAATTCACTGTTGGCTCATATTTTGAGCCTTGGTCCTTTGTGGCTCTTTAATGAAAACAAGATTCTTTGGTGAGAAACTTAATGTTGCTTGTGAGTGGTCGTGGGGGGTGAAAACTGATGAAGAGTAACACTGGTAAACACTACGTCATACTGGTACAAACTTAGAGCATGTTCTTTTTAATCATGTGTTAAGTTGGAATGGAAGCTCAAAATCAGTAGTCATTAAGAAAATCTGAATTCATGGAAAAATGCAGTGGCAAGCATGCAGCCTTAATCCAAAAGCTGTGGTTCTCAAACGGGGTTCCCATTGAACAGCAGCAGCCTTTGACCTAGAGACTAGTTTGTCCTGACACCGAAATTGAGTAATGAGTTCTTTTTGCAACTTTCAGAAAATATTAAAATGGATACAATTACCTCACCTGCCTTTGAACACTTCCACACAAGAAAACAAGTGAAAGTGGCCTAGAAGTAAACTCTGGCAACAGAAAGTCTTGGCCAGTAGCATTTGGCTGCCCACGTACATGGATGATGTGCTATTTGTATTTTTAATCTTTCATTACCAAGTAGCAAAAATTGTAAAGTTTTCAAAACACTTCTCAAAGTGTCAGTATCAGATGATCAAGAGAATGCTATTCTAATGGGGCACTTCATCTTTCGTGTGTTTCACCGTGTAACCCTTCCGTTTGAGATCCACTGCGCCAGGGGGAAACAAATCAATTATTGCAGAATGTTTTGCTGTGCGTGACTTCCTATTGTCTAGTAAACTCATCTTAAGAATTTATAGAATGCTAACACTCCACCTAATCAATGTCTTGTCCACTTTGTGACTGTGCCGAGTCAGCATTCCTGAAATCACACTCACGTTGTCAGGAGGCCTTCCGAGGCTCCTTAGATCATGCAGACTCCCAACTGGTGTTCTGCCGCCTGAGCCCCTGACTGAAGAACCCTGTGTGTAACCAGCAACCTAAAGTTCCTTTTTATTTCCACAGTATCTCATTAAAGTTAATGAAATCAAGACCAAGAAGGGTGTGGACCTGCTGCAGAATCTTATCAAGTATTATCATGCACAGTGCAAGTAAGTATAAGTAGCTCAAGGCCCTCTCCCTCTTCATTGCTTTTCTTAACTCTTACTTTCCATTCTGCATCGGGTCTCTAGGTAGAGTGATGGTCAGATGGATAAGAAATACTACTGTCCTCCATCTTCAGTGATTTAGGTCAACAACTTACTGTTACAAAATGATGTCTTACAAATTCTACCTGTGGCTATGACCACCTGTGAGCTCTTCATACAAGTGCCTGAGTCCCCGTCACCAAAGTGGTCTTTCCTGCTCAGCATATTTCTCCCCTTTTTGACATTTTACTTGTCAAAATGGGCTCCTTCCCACCGGTAGTTACTTTTCATCATCTCAACTAAATTAATTACATTGGGCTTTAAGAAAATTTTACATTCATACTTGGCTTCCTATACTTTTGGTGTTTTATTTTCAGCAATGTATCATTCTATAGTGGCACCATTTTGGTTTGTTTTTTATTTTGTCTGAGATTCTGTAGCACTCTGCTTACTTGTCATGTTAACGTTGAGATTTCAGATAGAGTCTTTGTGTGTTAAAGTACCAGTGACTATGAGGAAAGAGTGCCTGGGACCTTCCCAAGCTCTCACATCTGCAGGGAGAACAGCGTAAAGGTCATTTGGACTAGATAAAATGCTTGCTCTCCAGAAAGGTGAAATATTTCATTTTCTTTGATCATCTGTTTCTCCTGTAATATTTTGTCTAGGAAAAATCTTTGCGTTCAACTGAAACATTTAAGGAAGTCCACATTAATATTGTAGAGAAAAGCACAAGACTTGAGAAAGATAAATAGATCTGAGTTCAAATCCTGTCAGTGCAACTGAGTAACCATGCAAGTTTTACTGGGTGCTTCTCTAACTGCAGTACCCTCATCTGTCAAGGGTTGCATCATGGCACACAGCTCATAGATTGATTTGGGGGGTGTGAGAATTTAAAAGATATCACGTGTGGACTGCTTAAGCCAGTATCTCCTGCAATGGATGTTAGTTATCGCGATGATTCTCAGTGACACAAAAATACATCATTCACTCATATATTATTGTCAGGGGCTTTTCTTCAAAAAATACTCCACAATGGTTAGATTGATTATATAAATCTAATTTATTAATCTCTCTTTTCCAAGGAAACTCTGCATTAATTCAAGTGTGCTTAAGAAATAAAAATGATAAATTGAAATGGAAACTATTTCCTTACTCAAAAGGTAAAATTTAACTGCTGAAGTCTCATGCTGAAGACTAACCTTGGGCTTGGTAATATAAGGTGGCAGTTATGAAATCTTGAAATGTGTTGTGGTGTCCCTTGATTGTAGTTTGGGGTGGGATTTGGGGTCTTTTATCAATTTCCATTTTCCTAGGAACATTTTATCGCTTTGGTGCTTTGACAGATATAAGTGAATCTCTCCGTCTTCTGAATTATAGTACTTTGGCAGCAGACCAGATTTTTGAAACTTCTGTTGATCTCAGATTCTGTTAGTCTGTACTGTTGAGGAAGATACTAAAGGGTGTCTGAGGAGCAGCTAGTGGGTTTGAACTTCCGACCTTTCGGTCCAGTGCTTAACCTACAGTGCCACACCAGGACCCCACCACCCTTAATACCACTATGGCCCTGATCTGTGTACAGGAGACTCCCAAGGGTGTGGCATTTTATCTTTCATCTCACTGAAGTTTAAATGTAGGAGCTAAGAAGGAGAGACCCACTAGTGCTAAGAAAGAAGAACCAGGAGTGGAGCACAGCCTTGGCATGTAGGTTTCTGCCTCGTGAAGCTCCTAGATCTGGGCAAGGACTGACGTTAAGACACATGGAGATCTTCGAGGACTGCTGGTCCTACAGAAGCTAAAAAGAGACAAAGACCTTTCCCCTAGCCAGTACTCTGAATTCAGACTTCTAACCTTCAAAACTGAGACAATGAATGTGTTTGTTAAAGTCATCTACCTTTAATATTTCTGTTCAAAGCAGCACTAGAGGACAAAGACCATCAGTAAAGCCAAAACGAGCAACTCTACCCTAAATGGTGGTGATGGTGGTGTCATCAAGTTGGTCCAGACTCGTAGCTACCCTGTATAGTGTTTCTGAGGCTGTAAATATTTACAGGAGCAGAAAACCTCATCTTTTCTCTTGAAGAGCAACTGGTAGATTCAAACTGCTGACTTTGCAGTTAGCAGCCCAGCTCGTAATCCACTACGCTACCAAGGCACCGTATATAGCTAAAACTACTTCCCTTTATTGTCATCATATGGATTTTTTCCTTTCTACAAATGCTTACTCATCTAAAGGTCAAACATTCGTCAGGTTGCCCCATAGTAGTTAATCACCTGGTACCAGAAGTTAGTCAGAACCATCACCAATTAGAATGGGGCTAGGAAGTGACAGAGAGCCCTGGACATCAAGAGAAACAGACTCCTGGTCAGGGAGACGAAGGCGGTTCCTTGAAAGGATGGTGGCACTTGGGATTGGACTGAGAAGACATCTAGATGTGGCCATTGGAATCCCGGGCCAGAGAGAATCAGCAGAAGAAAACCTGATTCAGTAGAACTTTCACAGGAAGAGGTGTTCTAAGAGATCAAATAGTAGAGCTGGATGATAGCAGTTCATCCATAAATTAACCCCAGGGAAGTTTTCATTTCAAGACTTTTTATTCTCCTCACTTTAATCAAATCCTCGGAGCTCTCAGTAGATGTGTAGTAGACCTGTGAAGCGTCCTCTATTGAACTGTACTTCCAAGGACCTAGTCTAGTCCCCAGAAAGATTTTCAGTATAAAGTGCCACCAAATCAGTTCTAACTCACAGCGACCCTGTGTAGGGTTTTTGAGGAGCAGCTAGTGAGTTTGAACCACCAACCTTACGTTTCAAACCAACCTTGCAGTCCAGTGACTATCCTACAGTGCCCCACCAGATGGCTCTCAACAGTTTGCTCTCTTAAATCCATGTAGTCATAGCTCCCCCCGTGTGGATGTAGCTGCTACGTGGAAAAATAAAGGACCTCTTACTTCACCCACACCAATGACTATTCACTTTCAAGGGTGAGCATTGTAAGTGCAAAGAATTTGGCACCAACCAGTCCTTTCTATTCCTCAGGTGGATTCTATCATCTGTTGCAATGGCCACATACACCTCAGACACCACACTTAGAGTTAGAGATTTCTTAGAGAAGTACAATACAGAGACAGCTCAGGGCACAGAAAGACCAGTCCTGTTAAAAGTCACTCCAAATCCTTTCCTTCCCACATTCCTGTCAACCACATACTTTCTATATATGGTCTTTTGGGACTGGCTTCTCTCCTTAAGCATAAATAATATTTTCAAGGTTTATCCCTGGTGTGGCTCTGTGGGTTAATGCGCTGGACTGCTATGTTGGTTTAAACTGCAAAGTCAGCAGTTCAAGCTTACCAACTGTTCCTCGGAAACCCTATACAGGGTTGTTATGGGTCGGAAATGACTCTATGACACTTAACAACAACAAAATTGCTGTTATAACTTGAGTAACACCACTTCATTCCAGTTTGTTGTTGTTGCTGTTAGGTACCACCGATTCAGTACCAACTCATAGCGACCCTAGGCACAACAGAACAAAATACTACCTGTTCCTGGGCCAACCTCACAATTGTTGCCACGCTTGAGCCCACTGATGCTGCCACTTTCCCAATCCCTCTTGCTGGGGTCTTCCTCTTTCTCTTTGATATCCAAACATGATATCCTTTTTATGGCTATTCAGTTTTACAGCTGAATAATAATCCATCGGGGAGTATGGTGGCTCCGCAAGACAAGTAATGGATTATGAACTCCAGAGTTGTGGGTTCGAGGTCACCAGCTGCTCCCTGGGAGAAAGATGTGGATTTCTAATCCCCAAAAGATAACCCTATACAGGGTTGCTATGAGTTGGGATAAACACAAGAGCACTTAACAACAACAACAGTAATACTTCAGTGCATAGACATACCACATCTTGTTCACATGGTAATCATTTGATAGATATCTCAGTTGTTACTACTTTTTGGCTGTTACAAATAATGCTGCTATGAACAAGCTTATATACAAGATTTTGTATGGATATATGTTTTCAGTTCTCTTGAGTATATACCTAAGAGTGGATTTGCTATGACACAGGACAAACTGGAAACGATGTCATTTGGAGGGGCTGCCAAACTGATTTTTCAAAATGACTGGACTATTTTATAAGTATGAGGGTTCCAATTTTCCACAGCTGACAGAACTTGCTGTCTTGGTTTCACTGTTACTATTATTGTTGTTGTTTAATGGTAGCAATGCTAGTAGGGTTTCTCTAAGGACTAATGACCATGAGCATCCTTTCATGCACTGATTATTCGGTGTGTGTGTACGAGGAGGCTTCAAAAGTTTGCAGAAAAATGGAATTAAAACATACTGGAATTTTTCTACAGACTTTCTGAAGCCCCCATGTATGTCTGTATGTGTATGTTGTGTGTGTATATATTTAAAGTAGTCTCCACTGAAATTCTTTTGTCCATTTTAAACTGGGTTATCTTTTTATTGTTGAGTTCTAAGGATTCTTTATATATATATATATATATATATATATATATATATATATTCTGAAAATTAGACCTTATCAAATATACAGTTAGGAAAATGTATATTTTCTTCCATTCTCTGGGTTGCCTGTTTGTTTTCTAGATCATTTAAAATTCAATGTAATTTAATTTTTTGCTTTAGTTGCTTGTGGTTTCTTGGTTTTGACAAACATTTATTGAGCATGTACACTAGACCCTTTGCAAGGTCTGTTGGAACTGTGAGACACGAGAGTTAGGTTGGCTGACCGAGAGCTAGAGCCGAGGGCCTTCAGGCGGAGGCTTATGTCCTGTGGGCAGTTATTATTAGCAGCTGATGGGAGCAGCTGTGCCCTGAGCTGTCTCTGTATTGTACTTCTCTAAGAAATCTCTAAGTGTGGTGTCTGAGGTGTATGTGGCCATTGCAACAGATGATAGAATCCACCTGAGGAATAGAAAGGACTGGTTGGTGCCAAATTCTT